GGCCAGGAACCAGGCAACCTGCCTTCCCAGCTTTACCACTTGGAGCAAATCAACCTCTCTGCACCTCCCTTTTCTCCCCAGGGTTGGGGGGGGGCGGTGGAGGGAGTGGGGAGTAGCTACCTCATCAAATTAAATGAGTTAATACATGCAAAGCACCAAGAACAATGCCTGGCACATAGTAATGTAACCAAATCCAAGTTCATCCACCCAGTTCACAGCAAAGACTATCACTGAAGACAAGTGTGCAGCAACGAGAGGGTTTACTCTAGAGGCGGGCCAAACAAGGAGATAAAAGGGCAAGCCTCAAATCCACCTCTTGCGGGAGGATCAGGGACATGTAAAGGCATCTGAAAAGAGTCTAGGTAAAAAGTTGCAGCTGCACTTATTAGTCTGCAGCTGTGAACAGCCCCATTAACCCTTTGGTTACCGGTTTCATAAGTACTCAGCAAAATTTGGCTATTTAGTACTGAGCACAGGGGAAAGTAACGGACAGGTGCAGACATGGAGATTAAAGACCAAAGTGCGTAAGAGAAGGGTAAGAGGGAGTTCACAAAGTAGAAAGGCCAGGCCAAGCAAACGGTACAAGTGAACACACAGAACTATCAAACTAGCGTATCTGGGGAATTATGAATGATTCATTAGAGCTGGATTAATAAGTGTGTGAGCATGAGTGGAGAGAACCCTTAGGATTTAGTAACTAAACCCATGTGGTGGGGAGTGAGGCAGAGGGCAGGTTTTTGGGTTGACGGTGATGCAATTAACCAGGAACAAAATACAGGAGGTGGTATGGGGATTGCCACAGTGTGGGTTTTGCACATTCAGTATGTGTGGGCCTTTAGACTCAAGAAGAGACGTACAACTGGACACACAAATCTGGGGTTTTACAAGAACATTCTGGCAAGCCATACAGTGCAGGGAACCATCAGAATGTTACTGATTGTGGTAGCCGCAAACTCTGCTGAAATCATCAAGAACCAGTGTAGAGAACCAGAAGGCAAAAACATAGGCTACGTTGGCCTTCCAAGGTAGCTGGCAAGAGAAGGAGCCTGAGAGGAGAAATAGAGAAGAGAACCAGAATAGCGTGGGGCCTTGCAAGAAACCAAGGCAGTAAAAAGTTTCACATTAGTTAGGATGTTTTTGATGGAAAATGACAGAAAACTGAACTCAAACTGATTTAAACTGTCAAGATTTATTGGCCCATATAACTGGAGACACAAGCCTCTGGAGGATCACTCCCAAACCAACTGGAAAAATTCAGTTCACCATCAACAATCAGGAGTTCTACTGAGTATCTTTTATGTGCCAGGCATGGTTCTAGTAAATGAACAGGCAGAGGCCCTCCTCTGTGGACTGTACATACAAATGCTCCTTGGTTTTTTTGTTGTTGTTTTTTTTTTTTTTTTTTTTTTGCATTACAATGCAATGCAATGTTTTAAATTGGGAAAACTATGTAAAGGAAAGAGAGAAAGCTTTAGAATATAATGAAAAGTCCAAAACACTTGCTGGGATTTTCTTGTAAGAATGTCTGGAACTTCTGTAGTAAGTGAAATAGGGAAGCAGTTCGGTATGGACACAAAAGGCTAAAACCCGGAATACCACCAATGACACCAAAGTCCAGCTGCAGTTTTAATCAGTTGTTGAGTTCATGCAGATACCTGTAAAAATATTTGTATTTTTAAAATATGTCTAGTTAGGGTTGTGTGTCTAAATGGTGTGGCAATATGTTTTACATGCAGGCCATGTCCAAACCTGCACTAACCCATTTATATTTTAATTACACACACACACACACACACACACACACGCATGCACTGCAAATCATATATATGTAGTTTGCGATTAAAAAAACCCTCACCATATATATATATACACACACACATATATATACATACATATGTGTATACACATATGTATGTATATATACACATATGTATGTATGTGTGTGTATATGTGTATATACGTGTGTGTGTGTGTGTGTGTGTATGTGTGTGTGTGTATGGTTTGCAATAAAAGAAAACCAGGGCCATTACATCCAACTAAGGACCACCAGTTTCTCATACCCCAGTCTCCTCTCCAATGCCTTAGTTCCTTACTTACTGCTCTACTGAACTACTGCAACCGGTCTTTCTGAATCAGTCCTTACATGTCCTTTCTCCTTATGGCTACCAACGTGACTTTGCTAAAATAAAGATGGGTCCTCTTTTCCTAATAGTGCTTTGCACCAATAGGTACTCCATAAACTTTACATGGAATGCAATTACAGATTCTAGCCTGAGCTCTGTAGCTAACTCACATATTTGTGGACATATTGTTTTATCTGGCTGGGCCTGTTTTCCATTTCTCTAATTTGGAAATGATAAAGCCTACCTCGTTAGGTTTTTGGAAACTAAAATACTATGATTGAACTTTGTGAATGCAAAAGCACTACACAGCATTAAGGATCTAGACTAGAAAGTTGCAAGTTTGCAAGTAAGTCCAGGTAAATATGAGTATTTTGATGGCTAAAAATCAGTGTCAATTTTCTCAGTAATGTTCTTTGATTCCGGATAGAACATTTTTCACAAAACTCCATATGCTATTTATACTTTGAATTTTAAAATATGACCCACAGATGCTTAGTTCTCAAATTTTATCCTTGCACAGAAGAAAGTCATTTACGCCTGATGTGGTCTAACTTCCTTAATGATGAAGAAAGAGTCAAGTATCAAGTGACTTGTCTAAAAAAGAAACAACTTGGATAAAGGTCCCTTTCCCCTTCTGTTTTTTGGTCATATTTTGAAAAGAACCCCCGTGAAATACAAATGGCAGAATCAGACTGCTCCAAAATATTTAGCCTCCTTCTCTTTCCCCTCCTACATTAGAACTATTCAAAGTAGGTGTACATCTCTCAGAAGGGGCATAATGAGCTCACAAGTTCAGCCACTGTATGTCCTAAAATATCAACACCCCTTCCAGAAAAGCAGTATTTATTCCTCCCTGCCATTCCCATTCTGTTACCTTCTAGAAGGGGGTGCTGAAAGCCATCACTAGAGGCTGATCTAGTTAGCTTTTGTTCTATCATAAACTGATTTAAGTTGGAAATTGAACCAATGGGTGATAAAAAGAGGTTAGATTTCCAGACAGTGGCTTGCTGGGTTCTAGTTTTTTTTTTTTTTAAGTTTTTATTTATTCATTCGACAGAGACACAGTGAGGAAACACAAGCAGGGGGAGTAGGAGAGGGAGAAGCATGCTTCCTGCCAAGCAGGGAGCCCAATGTGGGGCTGGATCCTGGGACCATGACCTGAGCTGAAGGCAGACGCTTAAGTACTGAGCCACTCAGGCGCCCCTTGGGTTGTTTTTTTATTGTATGAGTTTTGCCTTCATGCTAATTTTTAAATCTTGTAATAGTTCAGTAACTTCTTGAAATATCTGCTCCTCTAATACATGTATCCAGACAATAGATTTCTCTAGATTTAGGAATCACAGACTCAAAATTATAATTCCATTTGTTTAGTCTGGTGTCACACTGGACTCATGCTTTATCACTTGATGCCACTCCCTAATATGATATTCTAGCCCTCAAAATTATTCATATACAAAGGCTTTAAATAAAAAGTTCCTTGCTTTACCAATTACTTCAATTTTGGGAATCATATATCTATAAACATAGAGGACAAAGCAGCCATAGGGAGCACCTGGGTGGCTCAATTGGTTAAGCATCTGCCTTTGGCTCAGGTCATGATCTCAGGGTTCTGGGATTGGCCCACACTGGGCTCCCTGCTCAGCAGGAAGCCTGCTTCTTCCTCTCCATATGCTGTTCCTCCTGCTTGTGCTCTCTCTCGCTATCTCTGTCAAATAAAGAAATAAAATCCTGAAAAAAAAAAAACAAAAAACAGCCATAGAATTATTTTTTGCAAGTTTGAGATGTACTGGAAGCTATCATACTGTTTATATTCCTTCCTCATTCCAAAAAACGCCATGGTAGCACCATCATTTTAATGCCTTTTGCAAATCTTAATCTACTTGATCCATGTTCCCAACTAAACAAATTTTATAGTTTTTCAAATACTGATTTCCAGTACTGAAGAAAAACAACTGGACTGAGGATTTTTTTTTTTTTTTAACTCAAAGACAAATGTCTTTAATTCTTCTTATACACTAAAGGTGCAGTGTCCTATAATTAACTTTTGGCTCTGAAAGGCATTAAGATGCATGGAATGATTGATACAACGTATAGCATCTCCTTTTTATAGTTCAAAACGCTACAGATAACTGCACTGCCATTATGGACTAAAGAGGTAAAATCAAAGATGATTAATTTCCTTACTACCCCTTGCTGAATTTGACTATTACTATATGAAGCCTTAAAATAGGAGCTATGCACAAAAACAAAACAGAACACAAGATGGTCAGTGAAATCTGAGTCTCAGATAAACAAATTTTTAGTTTAAGTAGGTCCCACAAATTGCACATACAAAACATTATTTGTTTATCTAATATTCAAATTTAATTGGGTGTCCTCTATTTCTATTTGCTACATCTGGCAATTCTTTGTAGAGAATTCTTATCTTCAGCAAACTATTTACCAGGGAAATTAATGAATAACCATCACCTAAGGTTTACATGATAAAGCGCAGTAACACAATCAAGGAAGATCTCCCTGCTTACCACAGAGAGTACCCGAAGCCATGACAACTGCAGTCCCTCGAAGATCACGAAAGTCTGATTGTTGGGTAGGTGGTTCAGGGTCATGATTCTGGAGTTCAAGTATCCTTAGTTAAATCCCCAAATCACTGCTCACTCACTGTGGAACCGTTGGTAAGTTAATCTCTCTTTATTATCAAATGAAGCCTCTAGGACCTGCTTTACCAGGCTGTTTGAGGATCAGTGAAAAAGTATCCACAAAGCAACTGGAACATAGAAGGCACTCCTAGATGGTAATACCTACTATTAAAAACATCACATGGCAAAGAGGGTACTTGCCACAGACAAATATTCAAATGTTAATGTTATGCAATAGTAATACTGAATAAGTAATTTTATTTCCATGATCTATTTACACTGTACAAACACTGTTGAAAAGCACCCTACGAGTTCACAGTACATTACAATATATTTAAAAATATATTCCTTTATAAAAGGTTCATAGAACATTGGCATGTCGACATGTGACAAAACTCTCAAAGCATGTCACTAATTCTGTGACAGCAAGAATGCTTCCATGTGTTGTCAATTTCACAATCACAAATCACCACTTGAGTTTTAAATAAAGTTTTAAATAAAAAATGAATTCTACAGTGGAAAGTTCCCACAGCAATACTTATTATTAGTTAATTAACATGTACTTTCATGGAGATGTTGTTTCACAATAATTTAAAACATCAACTTAATCTGCCCAAAAAAACCGTTTCAACAAGTTTCGCAGTCCAGAAATTGTCATTTGTTGTTTTCTACTTTTTCTTCTTTGTTGGCTCTCCTGGTTCTACTTTGCGCTTTTTAGAAGTATGTTCATCTTTTTCATCATCTTTAAACAGGAAAGGAAAAGTTTTAATCAGTAATTTAAAAAAAAAGTTAAGTATTAAAATTTCATTGACTTCAGAACAAAATCATCATTCTGAGCTTATGTTTCTTCTGGTTTCCTAATAAAAACCAAAAATTAAATTTAGAACTCTGATTTTAAAGTGCAAGTAAAAGTAAGAAATTTTTAAATTGTAGTGTCATGCAGAATTCAGAGTGACCTTTTAGTGCTATACTAAGGTAGTTTTAAAATGAGAGTAACAGACTTGTTCTGGAAAAAAGCTATTCCCATATATTCCACAGTGTGTGTATTTAAATAATCTACATGTTGTAAAAAACAGAACACATTCTATTTTTTTTTTTTTTTTTTTACCAAAGAAGACTACCAATCTAAACATGACATTATTTAAGTAGCCATCAGCTGTTCTTTCCCTTCCAATCTGCTTTCTCTCCCGGCAAAACAACTCCCTTTCCTATTTATAACCCTTGTCCTTTTATTTTGAAATTTAAAAAGCACTCACAGGTAGAAGTTTCACCAAAACTGTATTCTCTCTGAACATGTGTGTGGCTTTATGTTAAGAACTCCATATAGACAGACTAACATACAGAAGTTATAAATTTTAAAATACAAATTTATATTAAGCACATTACTGGATTCATTGCACTTTTGGCTTTACCTTCTTAATCAACAGATGCCCAAGTTCAACAACTATCACGTGGTGATCTATAAAATATTCTGATATTGAAAGGGGTCTTCATATTAAAAAAACTAGGAAGCTGCAGTGCCTGGCTGGCTCGGTAAGTAGTAGAACATGAGCCTCTTGATCTTCGGGTCGTGAATTCAAGCCCCATGTTGGGTGTGGAGCTTACTTAATAAAAAAAAATTATAATAAAAATAAAAAATTGGGGAAAAGCTGCTTATATCACACCATAACTCCTTATGGAGGAAATACATTTACAGCCTAAGCCTTCAGTTCCCTTCTGCTAACAGTACCATACTCAGAGTATCTCCTTCATTGATGAAGAAAATAATTAGAATCAACAGATGATTCATTCATCTTCATTCATCTTCAAGCACAGTATGGCGATATTTATGTATTTCAGAAAGCACTTATGGGTTTAGATAAGCAGCAAGATAAAATAAAATTCAGATCAACAAATCATCCTAGGAATTTACAGACCAGACTTTTAATCAACAGTTTATCATGCATACACAAAAGTAATGTATAAACCAACTGATATGTCACAGAGCTAAATAAGCCAAGATCTTTGTTTTTTAACTGGAGTTTAATTAATGTCATTGCTTGACTTTAAGATTATCTTCAGAGTATAAAAACTGAAATTACTTTCTAACTGTTATAAAATCATTAAAAAGATGACTGTGGGTGCCTGGGTGGCTAAGTTGGTTAAACATCTGCCTTTGGCTCAAGTCATAATCCTGGGGTCCTGGGATAGAGTCCTGCACTGTGCTCTGAGCAGTGAGCCTGCTTCTCCCTGTCCCTGCTTGCTCTCTCTCTCTCTCAAAAAAAAAAAAAAAAAAGAGAGAGAGAGAGATCGTGAGACATTTCTGCTATTAATCTGCCAATTTTAAATAAATTTACTGAATTAACAAAAAACACAAATTACTAGGGCTGGAAAAATAATTTCCAACAGGAAATTGAACAGGAGCTAATGCCATCTAGTGACATAACAAGGCATTGCCTTGAAAACCATAGCAGGACAAATGAAACAAAACCACTCTGAAAAGTTCATTTATCAAATTATTGAGTTTCTACTCTGTGCCATGTATTACAGATGCATTAGTAAAGAAAAAAATTTTTCTATTATGGAATTCATGCCGCCTGAGTTAAATAAGTTAACACTGTTAATATGAACTAACTTTCTAAATTCTTAAAAAAAAGAAAAAGCATTAACTACTTAAGTAGGGATTTCATGGCTAAGTACATGTTAATAATATCTAAGCCTTACTGAGTTGCATTTCACAATTACCAAACAAGAAAAAATAATAATAAGTCTAAAAGAACTTAACTGGCAAAAAAGGCCAAAGTGCAAAAAATGAGTAGGAAAAGTAAAAATAATTTAGTAGTCTAAAAATCAGATAATTTAAGAGTGTGGAATTTTGCTTTTTTTAAAAAAAGATTTTATTTAATTGACAGAGAGAGACAGTGAGAGAGGGAACACAAGCAGAGGGAGAAGCAGGCTTCCTGCTGAGCAGGGAGCCTGATATGGGGCTCATCCCAGGACCCCAGGATCATGACCAGAGCTGAAGGCAAACGCTTAACGATTGAGCCTCCCAGGTGCCCCAAGAATATGAAATTTCTTAAACAAGATATTTTGTAAGTTAATAAATACAAATTAAAAAATGATCAATTTTATACTGACTTTGTGGGATTCTGAAATAACAAAAATCACTTCTAAAAAGGAAAGTATCTAAAAAAGAAGATAGTTAAAGTCAATAACCAACATTAGAGTCCAAATTAAATATTCTAGGATTATCTTTTAACTTTATGATCCAGCTTTACACTGAGCATTGGGTCCTTCTGTCGTTTGATATTTCTGTACACATTCTGATGGAGGACCATCTTACAATCAAAAGAACAGAAATTACCTAGGAGAATAACATTATTTGCCACATATTTGGAGCCAAACTGGAAAGAAGAAAATTCTTTCTGGTTGTTTGTCCTGGTAGAGAATCCTCACTTTTCCCATATAGGAACAAAGAGAGAGCACCAGCCTATCTTAATTCGAGTATCAACTCTAGTGGTCTTACTTCCTACAGAACAGCTATTTCTCAAGCACCACCACTTGCAAAACATCGAGAGAACAAACCCCAGCTTAGAGAGACATCGTTTCCACTTAAGGGCCTGAATCTGAATTCTCATTTCGCTTATTCCTAGCTGTGTGAATTTACTTAGGCCAATTCTTTAATCTGAGATTATTTCCTTGTCTATAAAAGAGTAATAATGAATTATGTACCACTTCTTTACTAGGTCACTATGTGGAAGTACCTATTTTACAGCTTGGCATTTTCTAGTTTTGTCATCATGGACAAGTCACATGAAGCTCTCTTTTCCGTATTTCCTTATCTGGTTTCACCAGGTGCAGGATTAAACACTATGCAAAAATGGTTTTTTATTAATTACACAATACTATACAGTATGAGGTATTTTGCTTTTAAAAGGATGCCATTACTGAATGATATTATGCCTTCATTAGTGACTTCTAATCCACACTGGACAATCAGTGAAAGAAATGGAAAAGCCAAGTAAAATTAAAACTGAAGAACTCCTACCAGTTAGTTATTTTTTTCTCCTAAAACAAAACTCTGTCTGGCTGTAAAAGGAGCTAAGGGAAGTAGCCCTGGATTCATGAGAACATCAGAAATCTGTTTAACTGGCATGCCCTTCCATAAAAATGCCTTCCAAATATTAGCTCAATTCAACAATACCCACTGAATAGTCAAAATGTACTACAAACTGTAAAGGAACTCATGTTCACAAAGAAGACAAACTTATGAACAAATAATCTCATATAAGATGATAGTACAAAATCAATAGCATTAGCACACACAAGGTTTAGAGGAGCAAATAATTTGAGGGAGGTGCTGACATTTTTTTCTTTGAGTAAGATTTTGAAGGATGAATGTGTTTACCAGCTGAAGAGGGAGGGAAGAAAATTCTGGACTAAGGAGCAACATACGCTGAAAGGCATGGAACCATAAAATAGCATGGTCTATTCAGTTTTCAATTTTAAGATCTTAAAGTGGTAAAAAAAAGGCACCATTTAAAATGAAGGTAGAGAGAAAGGCAGGGCCTATCAGAAGGCTTTGACTATGCTCTTGGTTTAGGATTTTAAGCAGGTGAGTTACATAATCAGACATTACTTTTAGAAAAAGTGATCACTAGCTACAGTGTGAAGGATGGAATTGAGGGGTTGGGTAAAAGTATGTAAGCAGAGATTACTGTGGTTACTTACACTCTAAATATGAGATGAAATTATGATACAAACATGTCAACTAGGTCATTATCTTCCTATTACTATGTAGTAATACTCAATTAACTTCATTTTGTCACACTAATTTTGGCTTTAAACCACAACTGCTTTAATGTAAAATGAAGCCTTCAGCTCTTCGAAACTGCAATCACAAGAAAGAATCCATGAATTAACTGTCTCTGTTTTAAATTATAAATCATATATATGATGGGTTGAGATAGCAGAGATTTCACTCTAAAGCCTGAATAACTTAAGATCTTTTTCTAAAACACGGTAAATACTACTGGTTGAGCTTTCAGAGACTTCACATCAAGACCGAATTTATACAACCTTTTTCGAAACTACGGCAAAAATAATAACCACACACCATCATTAATTTCTTAAGTCGCTAGATTTAAATTTCACTCATTAAGTATCTCCTTCTTTTTAAATCCATCACAGGGGCCAAAAGGTATTATTCAAGGGAATCTGACTGGCCTTACCTGATTCCACTGTCTCCTCCCCTTCTGGTAGAAGCCTAGCTTTCTTAGCATTCTGTGGGGCATCATCACCATTGTCCTCATATATGTTAGACCACTTTATTGCCATATCCAGCTCTGGAGGGGGAGGTTTCTTCTCAGTAGTGTAGGTCTCCGGAGGTGGTACATAGTTTGACTTCCATATTTTGAATTCTTTTGGAGGCTGTTAAGCAAACACATTAAAAAGCACCGTGACGAACCGAGGTTCCTACAATCGGTATGGGCACATGCACCTCCCTGCCGCTCGCTTATTGTTCAGGATGACTTTTTTTTTTTTTTTTAAGGTTCAAAGACACATTTTTTTTTCCATCAAAATCACAATACTGTTAAGTGAAAAGCCAAAGGGTTCCCTATACGAATAAAGCTAATAACTTTTAGTTACCAAAGAAGAATCCAGTCTCAGAGATACTACGCCAAGGCTGACCCCTTCAGGAGGCTGCAGCAGACACTGTCTTGGAGGCAGCACCGCAGGCACTTCGGCGTCAAAGGGAAGGGGTCTCGGGGAGAAGCTGCAGCGGGGGGGGCGGGGGAGTCACCACCGTTAGTCCTCGCAGCGCGGGGTCGGGGCACCGAGCGCGGAGGTTTGGGTCTCCTCACAAGGGGGCGGGGGCTGCGGGCCAGTCTGACACCCACCAGGCTGGGGAAGGGGGCCCGGGCTTCCCAGGGCTGGAGATGGGAGGGGTGGTGCGGCAACCCGCAGGAGGTGATTGCGTGTGGGGGGAACGAAGTGCCGGTCCCCAGGAGAGGGCTCAGGAGGAAGGGGGCGGAGGCCGGGGCCACGGTCGGGAAACCGGATCGAGAACCTCACCTCCTCAGGCGCCTTGACGACGTGCCTCTCCCAGTCTATCTGTTTGTTGAGCGGATTGTAGAGAAAGGCCGGGCGGGTCACGCTCCGAAACAATTCGTCGGGTCCTGGCAGCCGCTTCTCTGCCTTGTTCCCACAGCCGCCCGCCGGCTTCGCAGGATCTGGGGTCCTGCGATTCGTTTCCTCCGGCTCGCTGTTATCCTCCTCGCCCGAGGAACCTGAGCTGCTGCTGCCGTAAGCCGCGAAATAGCTCAAAGGATCCTTCTCCTCGGCCGCCATGACGGCTGCGCGCGACGACCGTGGGCTCCGCCGGAAGCCGGAAGCTGCTTCAGGGCCCGCCCCACGGTTGACTCCGCCCCAAGTCTTGCGGTAGAGCGCAGTCCCTGCGCCCCCTGACGGCAGCGCCGGGCTGCTGCCGCTGGAATCGGGACTGAGGCTGGAGGCGGGGAGCGCACTTGGCGGAGCAGGGCTGCTTTATGCTCCTTCCTGAGGATCCCTGAGAAGAGTCAAGTCCTGAACCAGTGGTCCCAAACAAACTTTCAACATTCAGTAAGAATTTATTCAAGGCGTACACGAGATAAGAATTTGTTTTTCACGGCCGCCTCACCTTAACCATTGCCCACACACCAGGATTTCTTCCTGATCTCACTGCATCTCCTCTTCAAATTGAAAATTACTCTCAATATGGTTGTTTCCCGCAGTCACCGTGGAAGACCTCTATGGGTGGTGCACTTATCAAGTCACAGACTAAATCCTCTCCTGCTTGACCTCATTCCAGTGGGGTCTGAACAGCTGTCTTTGATGAAATTCTTCTTGGATTGCATCTCACCACTCAGTGAGTCTTCCACACTCTCTGGCTTCTCATTGTCAGCTTCTTTCCATTCTTGCTTTGCCCTGTGTGGCCCTTAAACGCCCATGTTTCCCAATTTATTGTACTATCTTTCAGAATACTTAGATTTTGTAGAGGGCATTACAACGTTGCAGGCCAAACCATTTCTTTCCATGGCATTAACCATCTTATGCTTGTGACTCCCAAATCTGGGTTTCCAACCCCAAGCTCTCCATCCAACCTCTGGACCAGACTTCCATTTGGCTCTTAAACTTTTCAGGCCTCAGGTCCTGCTGGGGCCTCAAACACCCATATACTAGATCAGTAGCTTGTCCTTTCATATGACTTGTTTCTGTGTGTGTTCCCTCTCTTAGAAAATGATATAACCTAGTCACCAAGAAAACTAGAAATCTTTTACTCCTCCTGGTGATCTAAGAGGGAACGACACCTAAATGAAAGTGAAAAAGTCATTTGTAGGGTGCCTGGGTGGCTCAGTTGGTGTCTACCTTTGGATCAGATGATGATACTGGGGTCCTGGGATTGAGCCCTGTGCCATTGAGCTCCCTGCTCAGTGGGGAGTCTGCTTCTCCCTCTCCCTCTGCTGCTCCCCGGTTTGTGCCCTCTCTCTCAAATAAATAAATAAAATCTTTAAAAAACTGGCCCCCTGTTGAGTCTATCTGAGGTTGGGGTACACAGTTTGAGTCATGAGTCCCTGTTATCAAAGCCACCAACAGCCCCCATGTGACTAAGTCCACGGGCTGCTTCTTACTTCACCTCTTAACAAGATAGGCCCTCTTCTTGAAACACTTTTTTCTCTTGCTTTTTACCAATCATACGCTTTAGTTCTCTTCCTATTTCACAGGGCTCTTTTCCGTTTCCTCTCTTGCCTTCTTCTGTCTCACCTCTAGTTGTGAGAGCACCTCAGGCTCGGTCCTGGAACAGCCTTTCTTTTCTATGAACCCTCTGTTTAAAGGTGAATTAATCAAGTCTCATGGTTTAAAATACCATTTTATGCTAATAACTCCCACATTTATATAACCAGTCCAGAAGCATTCCCTGAACACCAAAATCCTTGTACCCAATTTCCAACTTCAGTGTCTAACAAGCACTGAAACGTTAACATATTTGTAGTAGATTTTCTACGAAGATGGCAGTCAACAATTCCTGCCATGTCAGTGCTGTATGCCGCTCCTTCCATCATGGGGTATATTTCCTCTCCCTTTGGATCTGGGCTAGCCTTGTGCCTTGCACTGATGATTAGGATTCCTCCATTGTCTCCCCCCACCCCCCGCCCTGGGAAGCCCTGAGCCACCATGTAAAGAGAGGTCCAGCTACTCTGCTGGAGATACTGTGAATAAGGAACTCCAGTCAGCTGCCAGCTGGTGTATCCATCCCAGGTAAGGCACTAGATTTGTGAGTGAACTTATACAATCCCAGCCGAGCCTTTATAAGAATTCAGAATGAACCCAGGATAGACCATCATAAGAACTATGAAGCCAAGTCTAGCCCAATTTGCAGAATCAAGAACAAATAAATGGTCATTATTTTAAACCACTAAGTTTTAGTGTTTTAAAAGTTTAGTGTTCTAAAGTGTTTTAAGTTTAGGTATGTTATGCAGCAATAGACACCTGAAAAACATATCCAAACTGAACTCTTCATTTCCTACCCTCAATACTCTCCACCTCCCATAATCTGTCCCATCTCTTTAAATTACAGCATTACCATTATTTTTGAGTAATCTCTGCACCAAACGTGGTGCTTGAACTCATGACCCTGAGATCAAGAGTCACATGCTCTATGGACTAAGTCAGCCAGGCACCCCAAATTGCAGCATTATTAATCCAGGGGCTCAGGTCACAAGTCAGCAAATGTTATCATTTCAAATTTAAAATATAGTCCAAGTCCAAACACTTATTACCAATTCTACCTCAACTACCTTACTTTTTCCTTTCCTGCTAATTTTCTTAACATTTAATAATCTTTAAATTGGTTTAGATTCACACATTACATTTAGTGGCTGTGTCTATCTCTTTTAACCTTTAATGGTTTCTGTTTTTAAATTTCATAACCTTGATATCTAGACTATAGTTATTTTGTAGAAGATGCCTCTATTTGTCCTAGTGATAAATTCAGGTTACAAATCTTTGTTAAGAATATCACAAAAGGGGGCACGTGGGTGGTTCAGTCAGTTAGGTGGCTGCCTTGGGCTCAGGTCATGATCCCAGGGTCCTGGGATAGAGTCCCACATCCTGCATCAAGCTCCTTGCTCAGCAGGGAGCCTGCTTCTCTCTCTCTGTCTCTGCCTGCTACTCAGCCTACTTGTGCTCTGTCCAATAAAAAAGAAAAAAAAAAGAATATCATGAAAGTGGTGTTGTGTTCTTCTCATTGCATTCTATCAGGAGGCATGTGGTTTCATTTGCTTTGGTACTAATGATTTTTAACTTTTAAACAAAGATTTTTAGGTAATCTCTGCACCCAAGGTGGGGCTCAAACTCAAACCCCAAGATCAAGAGTCACATGTTCTACCAGCTGGGCCAGTCAGGCACCCCTGATTTTTTGTTTAAGGTAGTATCTGGCAGGGTTTTCTACTACCAAGTTACTTTTTTCCTCCTTTGTAATTAGTAAGTGTTTTGTAGGGAGATATTTGAGACTGTGTCAATATCCCATTTTTCATCACATTATTTGTCCATTTACATTAGCATTAACTCATGGGTTCTTATTTTATCCAATGATTTATGATCTATTATTAGTAGTATTTATTTTGATGTTGAAATTATTCCTCATTTGGCCTGTGTGAGCCCCTTTAAGCTGGTTTCTGTGCCTTTTGGACATGTCTCAGTTCAACTGTCACCTGCTCTGAGAGGAGTTCCCTGATGATGCTATCTAAACTCTTTCCCAAGTTATGTTTTAACTCACACATGCCCTATTTTATATCCATGGTAACTAGAATTACCCAGGTTCCCCTACTTATATTTTACCTCCCCCAACTACAATGTGAATTCTTTGAGAACACAGGTTTTGTTTTATCACTCTGTCTCCAGCACCTAGAAAATAGGTACTCAATGAATAATTACTGAATTAATGAGTGAAAAGAATACATTATCTCCACTCTTAACTTTCGGTTATTTAAGAAATACTAAGAAGAACATGAAGTTGTGGAAAGAACATTCACTGTGGAGCCAAACATCCTGGATTTTTATTCTAAACAGTTGTGTGATGTTGAGTCATTCACTGTATACTGAGTTTGTTTGAGCTCTGCTCTCAGACAGCCTTCATAAGATTATACTTAACAACTATAGACAGATTTGCTTCTTGGTTTGTTTTTTTCCCCAAAGTCCAAAGTGTGTACATTTATCCATTGACACAAGATAAGACCAGAGCCTAGAACTTTCTGCTCCCTTTTATATTGCTTTAAAAGACAGTACCTGTAAGACTGAATTCTACTGGTGCCTGGGTGGCTCAGTTGATTAAGCGACTGCCTTCAGCTCAGGTCATGATCCTGGAGTCCCAGGATCGAGTCCCCTGCTCAGTGGGGAGCCTGCTTCTCCCTCTGTCCGTCCCCCCATCATGCTGTCTCTCAAATAAATAAATAAAATCTTAAAAAAAAAAAAAAAAGCTTCTACCTTATACCATACACAGAAATCACTTTATAATGAATTATATGGCCAACTGTGAAATTAAAACAACTAAGACTCAAGGAAAAAACATAGGAGACTATCATTATGACATTGAGACAAGCAAAGATTTCTAAAACAGGAGCTAGAAATCACTAACCACAAAAGAAAAGATTGAGAAATTAGATTACTTAGTTATTTAATAGAAATAAAAAGACTGGGGTGCCTGCGTGGCTCAGTCTTTTAAGCGTCTGCCTTTGGTTCAGGTCATGATCTCAGGGTCCTGGAATCAAGCCCCCATTGGGCTCCCTGCTCAGCATGGGGGCTGACTTCTCCCTCTCCCTCTTCCTGCCACTACCCCCCCCCGACTTGTGTGCTCACTCTGTCAAAAAAATAAAATCTTAAAAAAATAAGACTGTTTATCAAAATAAACAAACCCCAAATCTCTCAAACAGAACAAAACACTTCTTAAAAAAATTGAAACAAAACTAGAATTTGCCATTATTTTGGCCTGTTCCTAATTTGCCAATGTTTGACCTTGGACGAAGAGCAACATGCTGACCAAAGATGTTAAATCACCTCATGAAAAGGTGTGCTCACCACGAAAAGACATGGAGACAACTTACGTTTCATAGTGCTTAGGCTACATATGATTCCAACCACGTGACATTCTGGGAAAAAACAGTGCAGAAACAATAAAAGATCAGTGGCTGCTAGGGCTGGAAGGGGAAGGGAAGAGGAAGAGATGAGTAAGTGGAACAAAGAACATTTTTAGAGTAGTAAAACTGTCCTGTATGATATTACACTGGTGGATACATGACTTTACACATTTATTAAAACCTATAGAACCAG